GCCGTCGCCGATGCCGAGAACGGAGACGGGCCGGCCATGAGCGGCGTGATGATTGCGACGTGCTGCCACCACCGCTGCAGCTGGGGCGCGGCGGCGTGTCGCGGCCCGGCCTCTCCCGCAAGAACGCCGCCTGACTCAGAGGTCGAGACTGATCCCGTGGTAGGCGCGTACGTCGCGAGAGAGTTCCTCCGCGAGGCCGGTGGTGCACGGCGGCGTGCGCGTCGTGGTGTGAACAGCGCCTCTTCACACCTCGCGCTGTGAACAGGCGTCGACGAGGACTCGTTTCGGCTCCTCACCGCCATCTCGAGCTGGGCCACGTCGACCGTTGCGGGCGGCGGCGGCGCGGGCGGCACGGGCGGCGGCGGCGGTGGCGCGGGCGGCGGCGGCGGTGGCGGCGGCGGCGCGGGCGGCAGTGGCGGCGGCGCCGGCGGCGCCGACGGCGCGGGCGGCGCCGGTGGCGGCGCGGTGCACACGGACGGCGAGCATTCGCAGGCGGACCCGGCGGTGTTGCGGCTGGGGGAGGCGCTCGGCGAGGTGATTGACGGGGCGACTCGCGCCGAGTGGGGCCGTCGCTGCAAGCGGCTCCTCGACCTCGGCCGTTCGCGCTACCTCGCCGCGCGGGGCTACGCAGTCCGGCTGCAGACGTATGTGCCGCAGACGGTGACGCCGGAGAACCGGCTGATCACTGCGTGGCCGCGGGTGTGTGTGGAGTGTCGGAGCGATGCCTGATGTGCAGACAGTATGTGTAGAGCTAAACATCAGTCTCGCGCAAAATATGACAACCGTGATTGCGTGAAAAGTTGCACCTCTGAAAAACACCCGCCTCTGTGCAAACCTCTCTCAATAAGAAGGTGCGAGTCTCGTCTTCTTGCCGAAGACGAGCTTGCAGCCGACCACGGCTGCGATGCAGAGGCAGAGGCCAAGCCCGCCCACTGCGCAGCCAATGATGAGTTGCCTGCAGCTTTCAGGTAAGGCGTCAAATCCCTCCTCGCCCTCTGGAACGTCGCAGATGCGCCCGGATGAGGCGGGTGCGGACGGTGGGGGCGGCGAAGGCTGCGGTGGCTCGGGCCCGGGCGGCGGCGGCGAGGGCGCTGGTGGCGGCTGAGGTCCGAGAGGCGGCGCCTCTGGCCAGGGCGGCGGCTGGGGTCCAGGTGGCGGCTCTGGAGTGGGCGGCGATGGCGATGGCGCGGGTGGAGGCTGCGAGGGCGAAGGCGATAACGGCGCGGCAAGCTTCATGACGCCGACGCCGTTAGCCTCGTCGTTGACAAAGAGCAGGCCGCCGTCGGCGGTCTTGGCCACATACTCCGAGGCGGAGCTGCCCTCCTCCCACCCTGGCGTGCCGAGCGCCGGCTCGCCATCCATGCGGTACTGGTCAGTGCGTTGCCACAACAGCGCGCCCGACGCGTCCGTGCGAACGACAAAGCTCTGCCAGACGCCGGCGCTCCGAGCAAACGCGCCGGCGCGCGAGTCGGCGAGGAGTGCGATCCCGTTGGCACAATCGATCGCCATCTGTCCCTGCATGCCGCTGCAGTCCTCAATGCCTGTGCCACACGCGAGCACAAGTCCACCGTCGTTCATTGCTTGCACACCCCAGCACTCGGTCTTGATCAGCATGTTGTTGCCACACGCGTCGCCCGTATACACCCCCGACGCGTCATAGCTGCCGCACGACGAGAATGCGCGTGACCACAAAACGACGCCGTCGGTCGCCCTAATCTTGGTGAGCTTGCCGCAGAAGCCACCGAGTCCGAGGCACCCGCCGTGCCCACTGATAAAGACGGCGCTCTCGTCCACCGCCACCGCCAGCTCTGTGCCTTCGCCGTGCTGCGAGCCCACGTCGATCGGGCCTACAAGCGCGTGAGCATTGCGTGAGTCCAGTGCCGTGCGTGCCGTGCGGGTGCAGCGCGCGCACCCCACATGAAGCCTCCCGTCGCGGAAAGTTTGGCCACTGCCGTGTCGGTGCCCTCCTCGCCCTCGGCGCTGTCCTTCCAAAACAGGACTGCCATGTCGCCGTTGGAGAGCGGCCGCACCGCCTTGGCCGTGTGGCGGTCGTCCTTGGCCGCTGTCCACGAAGCAGAGGATGCGGTGGGCGCGCTGGCGCCGCTAAGGACGGTGACTGGCAGCGCCATGACCACGGCTTTGCCGCCGGTGTTGCCGTAGGACCGAAAGCTCATCTCATCAGCGCTGCTCTTGTCGTAGAAGCCGGCTAGCAGCGCGGTCGCACCGTCTGTGCTGAAATCGATCCCTTCCCATGCGCCGTGCTGGCCCGACGAGTCGCCAAACGTGGTTGCGGTCCACGTCTCGGCCAGTGTGGCCAGCGATAGCTTTGTCATTGAGCGGTAGGCTACGCCGCCCACCAGACGATAGCCCACAACGAGCACGTCGCCTCCGCCAGGAAGCTGCGCACATGCATTGGCAGCGTCCTTGCCGATGTGGTTGGAGCGCCACGTTGAAATGGTTTGGCCGGTTGAACTGAATTTGACCGCAAAGGCTTCAGCCTCGGACGAAGATTCCGACTCCAAGCCCTTGCCGCAGAATATGAAGCTGCCGTCGGAGGCCTCAAAGCCATAGACGGGGTGCGCGTCCTCTACGCCGGTGCCTTCCAATGCGTAGAATTCAACTTGGTCCGCTGAGCCAATATTGATGGACTTGACCGAGAAGGTATCGAAGCCTGCCGACACGAGCGGCGTGGCGACCAGCCAGGCGGCCAGCCAGGCCAGTAGCGACCTTTGAGGCTCCAGCCCGATGCAAGTCTCGCCAGTCCGCATATGGCGGCTCAGGGCGAGACGATAGTGCGCGGCGTGGGGTGTCCGCCCGAGCACGAGCTCCCAGGCTGCTGCACCCGCAGCTCGAGAGGGAAAAGACTCGCGTAGTGGCCGTAGACTAACGTAACTCGTAAGTGTACTCCTCCCCGACGCTGAGGACTGTGTACACCCTACTGCAATTCTGCATATACGTTACTCGTTAGGGCTAGTTCCATTTCACTGTGGCACAGCCCGCGTTACACAATCTTGATTTTGGTCATTTGCGCCATTTGGTACCTCTCGGTGCCTTCCTGACCTGCTGTGTGCCGCCGTCTACTCGGCGGGATCGCAGCTGCCTCTGCGCGTCCTGGAGATGTACCAAATCGTCGCCGCCGGAGACGACTCGACGCCGCTGAGATCGGAGATCAAGCTCTGACAGGTCGCACGTCGCTCCTTTGACGCCGACGTGACTCACCCGTGCAGATCACATCAGGACACGGTCTCGACACGCTCGGTACGACGCCTGCGACCCGTCTTGGGTCAGGTGGCACGACGCTCATCGCGCCTGCCAGCGCTGCCGTGCAGGTTGCCACGACGAGGTCGAGCACGCTTCTATACGCTCGCCCAGCCTTCCTTTCCATCCCATTAGGCAGCCTGGGAACGGTGGCGGTCTGAGGCAAAGCCTGCGAGGGGTGGTGGAACCACATGTACATGTCACGGCTACCGCCGGCTCGACCCCACGATAGCCTCCGGAGGCTGACTTTGAGGCACAATCATCGGACGACGTCGGCGAGTTGAGTCGCGCTCGCGGTAGCCAGATGACCTCTCATACTAGTATCATCGGCCATGGCCGCAGGAAGCGCGGGTGATTCCGCTGGGAGCAACACGGAGCTCCGTTGGACGCGTTTTCAAGATTAGCGTGTGTCACAGCGGAGTGAATTGGAACTATAGCCTAGTAGGGATTAAAGCCAACGAACTGCAATCTGGATTCAGGATTGTGGATATCTCATGGTGAGACTCAAGTAGACGCAATCACCAATCTCCACAATAAATAAAGCCGGGGGGAGATGACACAACACATGGAGGACCGTCGGATAGGGGGGGGGGGGTCAGAACACATCACAGTGGCGGGGCGGGCCGCACAATATGTTCGCAGACAGCCGCAACCAATACACCTGAACATCCGCGCAGCCGCAGGCAATGCACACACACAACGCCTCAAGACGACATCGCGCAAGCGGCGCGCGACGTGGCCAAGGGAGAGCGGCTCGGGCCGCCTAACGGCTACGGCCTCCGTCAGGCGGGCTCCTTTGCCGGCAATAGGGGCGCCTCGTCCTTTGACGGAGAGGGAGTGCGCGCTCGGGCCGGGTCGTCCTCCTGCAGCGTGAAGGGCCCGGGGTTGTGTTCGTGCGTGAGTACACCGGCCTCGTGGCGGGGACACCGCCTCGCGCCGTGCATTCGCAGCACCGCGTGAGTACGAGGGCTCCGAATACGATGTGTAGAGCGGCTTCCGCTTCTAGCTTTCCTCCACCTCCGTCTCGGAGGGGTACGCGCTGATGCGCGCGCGCGCCTCCTTGCCCCGCGCAGCCGCCGCCTTGTCGGCGGCGACGGCGAGGGCGTAGCCTCCCGAGCCGCCGACGACCAGCCCGATTGCGGTGAGAGAGAGGAGCGTGACGGCGTTCCCAAAGATGAGTGTCGCCGCGGCGACGGTCACGGCGCGGCGCAGCGCGTTGCACACCGAGTGCGAGACAGCGTTGAGCCGGAGCAGGACTGCGAGCGAGAGGCGGTTGTACGCGAAGAAGGCGCTCGCCGACGAAGCGAGGAGCATCACAACCTCGCGCGACTCGCCCGAGACGAGGCGTGACGGGTAGCCGCCCGCGCCGACCGAGAGGAGGACCGTCGCGGCGAAGCCCATCGCGTGCTGGTAGAGAAAGATGGCGTTGGCGTCGAGCGGGCGCTCGTTCTCTGCGGCGAGCAAGTCCTGCGCGGCGGTGGTTAGTGTGCCGCGGAAGGCGAAGGCGAGGTTCGCGCCGTTGGCGAGCAGCAGGCCGAGGTAGAAGCCTTCGCTTCGCTCGGAGGCGGGCTGGGAGAGGGCAGATAGCGTGCCGCCGACCACCAGCGCCACGAGGGCGAGCAGCGCCCTGGCGCTCAGCCGCCCCCCCCGCACGCCAAGGGCGCAAGCGATGGCGGCGGAGCAGAGCGGCTCGAGCCCGCGCACAGTCTCCGCAAGCGAGGCGTGGATGTAGAGCAGCGACAGGTTGAGCAGCACGAAGCCCGCCGTGTAGGAGAGGGCGATGGCGCCGGCGAGAGGCCAGACGCAGTACGGCAGCAGCGGCATCTTGCCGGAGCAGAAGCTTACCACTGCCGCAGCGAGCATCGCAACGCCGAACTGCACACTCGTCAGCTGCAGCGCGCAGTGCTGCGGCGAGAGCAGCGCAAGCAGCTGCTTGGAGGTCGTAGTGCAGGCGGCGCTCGAGCCATACCAGAGCGCCACCAGGACCAGCAGGACCGGCGTCGACGCGTTCATCGCTCGAAACGCTCTAAACTCTTGAAGAAAAAAAGTTCGCTCGAAAACAGCAATTGAGCCTCGAAGCCGACGATGACAACGACTCCATCACGCCTCTGCGGCCGACGAAGGTGACAACGACTACGACAGCGCCGTTGCAGGCTCGCGTGCACGGGATGAGCTGGGCGTCTGACAAGTGCTCCGTTCCAGCGCGAGGGAGAGGCGGAGCCGAAATTCTCCTCAACATGTTTGTCGACAAAGTTGCCCCCGAGCTCCTGCTGCTCGACTGCGCGGCAGAACCGGCCCCTCGCGGCTGAGAGGTGATGCGCCGGCACCGGGGCTACGGCGCGGGACCATTTCCAGGCTCTCTCGAGCAACCTCAAACATGTCCAGATTTAGCGATCGCGATCCGCGTGCATACATAGCATGATATGCGGAGCGGCCCTGGGTGAGACTTTTTT